GTGTCATACATACATGTAGTTTAAAAAGTATTTGCATTAGAGTCATGAAACTTTACAGATATGTTGGTCAGCAAGTGAAGTTGTCCACCTGGAGTTTCGCCTGTAGAGATTTTTCACCTTATTATTATATAACAGAGGCTTATAAATGACATCTTCCCAATCAAAGTTTTCTTTAAAATCCTGCAGTTTGCTCAAAAATCTGAATTTACACCAGGTTTTCTTACTTCCAAAATTTGCAATTTTAGTGATATTTTTTCCCAATATCAAGAGGCTAAGGCCTCTTCCAAATTGAGTGAGATAAGCTACTGGCTTGTAACTTAATTCATTATTTGAAGAGTTATTGCCCTTCACTTAGCTAAAATTTGCAATTTTTAACTTGCAACAAGTGCCCAAAAAAGTATTTCACCTTGAGTCATAAAACTTTAAAGAAACAGTAATCAGTATGTTAAGTTGTGCAGGTGGGGGTTTCCTTGTGAATTTATTTATTACTTGTAGAGTTATTGCCCTTGACTTTGTTAAAATTTGCAATGTTAAACCTTCTCATGCTTAGCTTAAAAAGTTTTTGACCTGGAGTCCTGAAAGTTAACAGGAAAGATGGTCAGCTTGTGTAGTTATGCCCCTTGGAGTTTGCTTGTGAATTTATTTAGTGTTTTTGCTTTTGACTTTGTAAAATATTTGTAAATATTAATTGGGGCATACATAGCCCAGAAAATATCTGACCGAGAAAACAGTGGAGTGTGGGGGCATCCTTGTCCTATTGACACTTTTCTAGTTGTATGTTGCACTGCTTTCATTGACTTACACATTTATATTTGTGTAAACAAAATTGTGTTAATCTTAAAACCCGCTGGCCTAATTTTGAAACAAATCTTTAAAGTTCATTCTTAATAATAGATTAAATCTACAAGTGATGATAGACCCTTGACATCCAGGGCAGTTTATGACATACTTATTTTTTATTTCCGTTTTTTAAGTGGAAATTTGTTTTAAGAATTGGTTAAACTTAAACATGTACAAAATGTACTTCCCTGCTTAATGAATGCATAAATGTACACCACAACAACAACAACAACAACAATAAAATGTTATTTGATATTCTGCATTTATGAAGCTGTCATTATATCTTGCAAGTCATCCTATCCTAGATTCTATTTATAGAGACGCTTCTTGATTTAGCATGTCTGCTGTCGAGCAAATCGACTGTACTAATAGATACATAATATGTATTACTGTTCCGTTAACTGATATACTGGTTACAAATACTATTACATAACTTGACAATATTTAAATAAAGTGGTTGCATTGGATTATTAAAGGTAATTTTTTTATGCTCAAAGTTATAGGTAAAACTGTTAATAAATAAAGCAAGAAAGTCTCATATGATTTTAGGAATGGCCTCCGTCTGTCAGTTTCACTTTCATGTCCGCACCATAACTTTTAAACAACTGAAATGTTTTTGAAATAAATTGGCACAAGTAATCACCATAATGATACTATGTGCAGAGCGCAATAATTTGGTTGCTACCCCCAAGGACAACGTCACACTTAAGGGTCAATTGTTAAAAAATCTTCATTTCATAATAAAAAGTCTACATTTCGTGTCCGCTCCATAACTTTTAAACCGCTGAAAAGTTTTTTTTAAATAACTTGGCACAAGTGATCACCATTATGAGACTATGTGCAGAGCACAATAATTGAATTTCTACCCCAAAGGGCAAGGTCTCAATTACAGGTCAAATGTTAGAAAGTCTACATTTCGTGTCTGTCCATAACATTTAAACAGCTGCAATGTTTTTAAGATAACTTGGCGGAAATGATCACCATTATGACACCATTGGCAGAGCACAATAATCAAGTCACAATGCTTAAGGTCAGGGTCACACTCAAAGGTCCAGTGTAAAAACACTTATTTTTCATGTCAGCGCTATAACTTATTGACAATTCAGAGGTTTTAAAATTACTTGGCACAATTTATGATCTCCACCATGACAAAATCTGCAGAGCTCAACATCCAGGTTGCTAACCCCAAGGTCAAGGTTATATGTCCTCCATAACTTTTTTACTTTATGGTAGGTTTTAAATAACTTGGCACAATTAATCACCATCGTAAGACTATGTGCTTATGATATGCATGGCACAACATCAACGTCATGGTTTGTAAAAGGTCAAGAAGTACACATTCATGTTCACTGCTGAAGGGGATTTAGCTTTTCTTCAGACTGCCTTGTTTTATTGGCATTTCTTGCTGTAATCTAACATTATGTTTTTAAACTTACATTAAGTGTTTAGGGATGGTTATTAGATGAGTTTAAGGTTGAGAAGTGTTGGAAATTGGGGAATTTGGAGAAATATAATGAATGCAAAATCCAGTATATTAAGTAAGAGCATGAAATTTATAGATGAGCCGTGTCATGACAAAACCAACATAATGCATTTGTGACCAGCATGGATCCAGACCAGCCTGCGCATCCCCGCAGTCTGATTAGGATCCATGCTGTTTGCTTACAACCCTATTAAAAGAAGAGAAACTGATAGCGAACAGCATTGATCCTGATCAGACTGCGCAGATGTGCAGGCTGGTCTGGATCCATGCTGGTCGCAAACCCATTATGTTGGTTTTGTCATGACGCAGCTCATATTTATTTTTTATGCAGTTTACATAAATAAGGAAAAATTTATAATTTTAAATATAAGTTTTAGTTATTGATCATTCATTTTACTTTAAAACTAAAAAAATAAGATCTGATAAAAACAAAATATTCAAAATTTGTGATTGTAAGGTGGTATAAAAAAAAAGACCCGGCTCATTAATATGCAAAAACATCATATTTACACAGCTATAATTAAGTCATGGAAAAGACAGTGTAGAAAAGCATTTTAAGCTTCCAAAGGGTGGCATATAGTTTTTGAATCGTCTGTCTGCTTTTTGTTTAGGCCATGAGGCCATCCTTAAAAAAATGTTTGTTTGCAGTAACGCGACCGACTCACAAAATTTGCCCCTACTCAAAAGTTTTTTTCATGGTCTGGATAAAAAAAATTTTTTTTAATCAGAAAATTATGCCTTTTAAAGGTTAATAGAAGAAATAAAATGTAGGTATTATTTAATTAGAATTCATTTATCAATTTATTAATTGTTACCAGATTATAAAAGCATAAATTGTCCAGAAATTTGAAATTCCATGTTTATTTGGGAGTACAGTTCAATAAAAAAAAAAAAAAAAAAAAAAAAAAAATCGACCTACCTACCCACCTTGAAAATTCTGGGTCGGGTTACTGCAAACAAACATTTTTTTAAGGATGGCCTGACTTTGTTATTCTTGCATGTATTTTGAAATAATTCTGCAGAAGTGTGTAGCTAGTTGAGATGATGTGTGTCACATGCAAGATAAAGGTTAGAAGGTCAAAGTTCAAGGTCACATTCATACTTGAAAAGGTTTTTTTATATAAGTAAATTGATCATCATGTCCAATCAACTAGGCATTAAAAGGGTAGGATATGATGAAGAAGTTGACCTGCTATTATCATGTCTCCATCTCAAATGTCAAAGTCACACTTTTATGTCCTATTAGTTATGTTACAAATTTTTCATAAATGTGTCCAGTCAACAATTCTATTATGCCTGAATGGATTGTTAAAGAACTTGGCAAAATATGTGAGACATGATGGCAATCTGGTGCATACAAAAAAACAAGTTGGCACATCTGGCCAATCTGATTCATGAAGCTGTATTTTTTTTAGATTTTGATCTTTAAATCCATAATACTTTCACTTTCAGATAACTACTTGATTTAAGTTATATGAATATAAAGAAAATCCTTGTACCTAGAGTTGTCATTAATAGACATGTCTATAAATTGTGAAAATTCATAAGCATATACACCAACAGAAGAAGGTGTTCATCTCTAAAACTAAGCTGTGGTTATAGTAATGGACATATTTCATATGTAGTAATGTTGAGAAAGACATCATGCAACAAGACACGTCATATAATATATTATATGAACTAAATAATTGTGTTTTTTACTGAAATCAATTAAACATGTATGAAAGTGAATTATAGACAAGTAATTAATAAGTTATTATTGATGCATCAGTGTAACATCAATATTTTTATCCCATATTGATATACATGTATTTTTGATATGCTTTGTTCTGAATCATTGACAGCTCTCACTCATACATGTATAATAAATCACAGAAAATAGTTTTAAACATTACAAGCCAAGTTAACCCATTACCAGATATCATGATATTAATGCCTTTTTCAACCCCCCCCCCCTTTTTTGGGGGGTCTCAAATGGTGAAAAAATGCCTTATTTAGGCCCCAAACACTTGTTTTTGTTTGAGAAATGTTGTTTAAAAAAGTGACCACTTTTTCAACCGCGCCCCCTACCCAAAAGATACATCAGGGGGTTGCCAGTAGGGTGATGCGCCTGTGCTCTGATTGGGGGCAATCATCACCCCCCTCATTACCCAGAAAATTTTGAACTTGTGAGAGGCTAAAAATGACCTCAGGTCGATCGTAAGGTAACGTGTAACCAACGCTGAAAAGCCTTTGACTCTATCTCAATCCATTGAGAAGTTGCAGCACTTTGAAATCAATTTTGATGGAAAAAATCAACGCAAAATAGTGATTTTTGGCAATTTTGAGAAGTCCCCTCCACATTGCCATGGTAACAGGAAATTTTAGAGCATGTTGTTACAAAGGCAATGGTCCAGTCAACATTTGTGCCAAGTTTGATTAGTATTGAAGAAGTTTTGATAGTTTTATAGCAATTTGAACTTGTAACGGGAGACTTTTCAATGAAAACAGCCATTTTTCACAAAATACTCATGCAGTAATGGGTTAATACAACAGAATATTATACAAGTTCATATAAACTAGTAGTACCTAGATAAATGGGTTTATTTTAGTGTTTACCTATCAATAAGTAAATTTTAACTATGACGATAATGTAAATGACTTGAGCCTACCATGTGATAATGTAAAATGTTTGTTTACATATTGTGAAATATTTTGAAATTGTGTGTACTTTATCCCGGAAGTAAAGAGGTGTGTTATTAAACCAAGTTTAGTTTCGGTTTCACCACAGTTATAAATGATCAGCCTTTTGTAATGGATGAAAAACGACCTTTATTGGGCTCAAAGTAAGATATTATATTTATTTTTGTTTTATATTTAGTGATTATTTTCCTGAAAGATAGAGTTTCCTTAAACTGGAACTTAAATCAATTTAAAATAGGTTTCATTGATGCATGACTGCTTAATTTCCTAACATATCAGGAGATAAATTTAATGTTTTTGTTGTACATTTAAAGTGTAAGAGCTGTTCAGATACCTTTAGTACCAGTAATCCTTAACCTAAATACACTTGAACATATTGTTTACCTTGACTATTATCTTGTGTATACATGTATAGGTATATTTACTTGTTAAACTTTTGACATAATTACGGAAGCATAGAGGTGACATTATATTTTCTCATGCCCATGAGATTTAAAATAAAATATTGACATTGAAATTTTAAAAAATACCTCAGATACAACAAAAGTTAAGATAATATGAAAGTTGCCTTGTCACAGACTACATTGTACTTAAAAAAAAAATGAAAGTTAATATGCGACTTCAAAATGATAAATTGTTTTACTCAGCATGTCACCTAATGTACTTCCATGCATACTGGATTTCAAAAAGTTTAAATTGTCCACATTTATTACACATTGTGAAGTTGTATAGCCTTATAACACTCAGCCCACATTCCTTGTTAATAGATTATTATTTTTTGTGCCCCCACTTTAGTGGCGGGCCCTTAGATTTACCCTTGTCTGTCTGTCTGTCAGTCCGTCCTTCTGTCCGTTCTCTTTTGTGTCGCACGTAACTTAAAAAGTATTAGACCTAGAGTCATTAAACTTTACAGGAATGTTGATCAGCATGTGTAGTTGTGCACCTGGGTATTTTCGTCTGGATATTTAGTATTTTTAGAGTTATTGCCCTTGACTTAGTAAAATTTGCAATTTTCAACTTGTGTCGCATGTTAATCAAAAAGTATTTGACCTAGAGTCATGAAACTTTACACAAATGTTGATCAGCATGTGTAGTTGTGCATCTGGGTATTTTCGTCTGGAGATTTTTAGTATTTTTATAGATATTGCCCTTGACTTAGTAAAATTTTGCAATTTTCAACTTGTGTCGCATGTAACTCAAAAAGTATTTGAACTAGAGTCTTGAAACTTTACAGGAATGTTGATCAGCATGTTTAGTTGTGCACCTGGGTATTTTTGTCTGGATATTTGTAGTACATGTATTTTTAGAGTTATTGCCCTTGACTTAGTAAAATTTTGCAATTTTCAATTTGTGTCGCACGTAACTCAAAAAGGATTTGTTGTAGAGTCATGAACCTTAACAAGAATGTTGCTCAGCATGTGTAGTTGTGCACCGGGGTATTTTCGTCTGGCTTTATTTAGTATTTTTAGAGTTATTGCCCTTGACTTAGTAAAATTTTGCAATTTTCAACTTGTGTCGCATGTAACTCAAGAAAGATTTGACAAATTGATCAGCATGTGTAGTTGTGCACCTGGGTATTTTAGTCTGGATTTATTTAGTATTTTTAGAGTTATTGCCCTTGACTTAGAAATTTTTTACAATTTTCAACTTGTGTCACATGTAACTCAAAAAAGATTTGACATAGAGTCATTAAACCTTACCGGAAGGTTGCTCAGCATATTTTGTTTTGCACCTGGGGTTTCGCTTGTGGATTTTTCCAGTATTTGTAGAGTTATTTCCCTTGATTTAGTAAAAACTGATTGGTCATAAGTATAAGATGATGACCTCTATTGATTTAGGGGTCATTAGGTCAAAGGTAAAGGTCACAGGGGCCTTGAATGTCAAAATGGTTTCCGCTGATTATCTTGAAAAGTATTCATCACAAAGTCTTCATATTTCACATAGTAATTGGTCATAACTAATAGATGACCTCTATTGATTTTGGGGTCACAAGGTCAAAGGTCAAGGTCACAGGGGCCTTAAATGTCAAAAGGGTTTCCGCTGATTATCTTGAAAAGTATTCATCACAAAGTCTTCATATTTCACCTAGTTATTGGTCATAAGTAGAAGATGATGACCTCTATTGATTTAGGGGTCATTAGGTCAAAGGTAAATGTCACATGGGCCTTAAATGTCAAAATGGTTTCCGTTGATTTTTCCATAATTGAACACTTCCATGTACCCATTTTTGGCAAGTTTCTGTAATAAAATTACCTATTATGTGAGTCAATGGCTAGAAAGGGGGGTATATGTGTCGTTCAACATTCTTGTTTAAAAATGATTTCAACTTGTTTTAAAATACATATTTTCTTGTTGCAGTCCAAATAAAATGAGTTATCCACAGGGCTATCCAGGTGGCCCACCTGCAGGACAGTATCCTGGAGGACCACCCCAAGGTCAGTACCCAGGGGGACCACCCCAAGGCCAGTACCAAGGCGGACCACCAGCAGGGCAGTACCCAGGGGGACCACCAGCAGGGCAGTACCCAGGGGGACCACCAGCAGGGCAGTACCAAGGTGGACCACCAGCAGGGCAGTACCCAGGTGGACCACCCCAAGGACAAGGTATGAACATTACTATGCTAAATGATTCTAGAAAAAAAACAATTTGATCATTTTGAAAGGTTATTTATAAGTGTTTATTGAAAAGCATATACAGCATAATATAAGCTTTAAATGAGAAAACAAAAACAATGTCTTTCTGGCTATTAATCAGTTAACATTTGTGACATTAAATAAGTTGCTCACAGTGAGTGCTGCAGATTTGATTATGGACATGGACATAAAAAATAATTGAGGAAACTAAATGTGTCAATGTGGCTTAAAATTAAAGTTTTTAACTCCTTTGCCATATTCATGTTTATCCTATGTTAAAATGCATTTGAATTGGAATCTTCAATTTATGTAACAATTATTCACATATAAAATGTAATATATGTAAAATATTGAAATAAATATGTTAAACTAATTGTAATCAGAAATACAATTATTTTTATTGACAGTACAATGTATATCTAAATTTCAGTTTTGTTTATATTATGTTAATTATTTGTGTTTTTGACGATGAAACAATAAATGTCGCGAATTGTAATTAATTTCCATGTACCCATTAAGGCTACCCAGCTGGAGGCCAACCACCTGTAGGACCTGATGCAGTTCAACCACAGTGGCAAGGTGAGATGCCAGACCAGGACGTGGATGATAACCCTAATGCAGCTGCTGCCCAACCTTCAGCTCCACCTCTGGAAAAGATGGACGAAGTACAAGGATATCACAATATTGGGTTTGATGGTTCAATGTTACCACCACCATCATATGATGAGGCAACCAGGGAACCACCACAGAGATCTGAAATAGCTGGGTAAGAAGTTAGGTCATTGTTAAGATTTGCTGTTTATAAAGAAATGCAGAAGATAATGTGCCTGCTGTTGAACTGTTTAGGTTGCTGACATTAAATCTTTAAGCCTTACCACCCTAGATACATTTAATGGACTTGTCCATCTTTTGCTCTGGACAAAACTATTGATCTTTTTTTTCTTTCTTAAATTTTCAAAATAAATACTGACGGGATAGTGCAGACCATGGTCAGATCACACCTAAGTGCCGACTGATTGTGGTATGCACTGGTCACATGGTGGAAATTCAAGTTGCCGACTGTAGGTTAAATATAAACATCAATATGTTTTGATCCAAAAATCCATCAATTTGCTTCAAACTTAGCTCAAATAGGTATAGCATCGTACTGTTAAATCGGTGTACATGTTTAATCCAACTGGTCACTTTTGTTGTGATTGTTCAGGAAATCTTTTCTACTGTCATTAGCAATGTTTCTCTACTCTGGCATGTACAAAAGTAATCAGTTCCTTGCGAAAGTTAAGGCAACTAGTACTGGTAAACTGTTTGACAGCATGCTCAGGAATGATGCTGTGGCTGAACTGTGTTCTGGTTAAGTCAATGCGCCATGATTCGGAGTAAAAACTACCAACACCGCATCCAATATATTTTGACCTTGCATCCAAAATATATCCTCTTATATTTTGAAATACTTGAAACTGCAAAATTCTAAATTTTGGTCATATTTTGTCAGTCATACAGAATGTATAGAAACAGACGTGTACATGTATGTAACTCACTGAAAGATTTCTAAATATTTTTTGTTGGTAATTGTTACTTTAGAGAAAGATTTAAATAAGAAAAGATTTATAGTAAATATTGTTCATTATGGCATGTAACATGAACAGTTAGTAATGTTATGAGGTTATAATACATTGTTGAGTACAATACTGAATTTTCTTGCATCTCAGACAGGATTATCTACCGTTTACACCGGTGCTAGAAAACTCTGTCTTACACCCACCATGTAAGACAAGTCGCTTGCTTTAAATGACGTCATTGAACCGGGACTTTTATGAATGAATCGCATTCTTAGGATGACGTCATTTTTCAGTTATGAATGAAGTTGTATGTTCATATGCTACTATTAGAAAAAAGTGCATAATGAGAATATGAGTTTTCATAATTTCTGTTCCGAAAAAAATTGACATGTCATGTTATATGCAAGAAGAAGAATCAAACACCAGCTGTTGGTACAGACAGGAATATCTAGCTCTCGGGTAACTGTTTAGCAGAAACTCGGCAGAGCCTCTTTACCGCTGTAAACAGTTACCCTCGAGCTAGATATTTCGGTCTGTACTGGCAGCCGGTGTAAGATTCTTATAATATTTGACAAGACAGTAGTACATATCATTGCTGTAGTTATTAATTCCGCAATGGACTTCTTTCATGTGAGGAAGCTATCCAGCTAGTCTATGGAAAGATGGTGGTTCTACTCAGGTACCTGAAATTAATGTAGTGAGAGGCACATGATGTCATTCTCCACCAGTAAGGTTGGAAAGCAACCATATGACCTTTATATAGCTTTGGTGTAACATAAAACTCAGCCAAAAATTGAATGAGGTTTTGAAGCTGTGTATAAGTCCAGTAGTATGTATTGTAATAAACAATTTATAATGAAATTGTCTTTATTTCACATCACCAAATCTTTGACATTTTGAAAGAACTTTGCAAGTTCTAGTACAGTAAGGATTTGATATGCACTTTTACTATTACTATGATACAGATAAACTAAGTATTCAAAATATTTAATGTTCATTTAGCATAAACTGATTAATTGAATGGCAATTGAATTCCTTCAGAATGCTGCTGGGGTTCTAAAGGGAAGGGGGCTTTCATATTGCTTGTAATACTATGATTATTGCTTGTTATTTATAGATTGCCAAAAATTGACGAGAATGAAGCTAGGCAAGCACTGTTAGAGTTTGTTGCCGAGAACTGTTGCTATGGTAAAGGTGCTGCAGAGAGCTTGCAGTTTAAAGACCTTGTACATTCTAGTGCATTTCATGTAAGAACTTTTTCACCCTGACACTGCAAAATTTGTATAACAGACTATGTATTGGTTAATGGCACATTACTTCTCAGAAATGAATACATTTTGCATTCTGTAGAAAGGGGAAATATGTGTTTTATAATGTTGTAATAAATTGATTAAGAACATATGATATGCAGATCACCTGAGTGAAAAGCTATGTCAGAAAGGTTGCAAAATGTAAACAAAGTGGTATTTTGACTTCCATACAAAATATCAAATCACTATAACTGTACTATAAATGCCAAAAACACAAAAGCAACAAAAGATGGCTCTGCTATGTGGTAAATGAATAACTTGTTGTAAAATCTTTAACAGGATTCCAAAAATATGAGGCCATGATGCTTGAGCAACATTCAAGTGATGTCATATATATGTGACGTCATATGTTGCACGGGAATGTGTTCTACGTCAATTAGAAGCTTTAATTGTTTGTCATTCATACAAAGTTTCATCATTTTATAATGAAAGACAAAAACATTATGGACAATTAAGTTATGGGGTCATTATCAGAACTTATTGAATGACCCTCGTAAAAAAGCTTTTAAGAAATGAAAATATTATTTTAAGGCTTAATGGGCCTTTCATGAAATTGCTGAATCAGCATTTCTTTAAAAACTAATATGTTGTTTATCTTTAACCTGAAAAATAAATAAACCTATTGTTTTATAGTGGACTTGCCCTACTTCAGATATGGAACTGTCCATTTTTATTTTAAGAGGTTTTAATAGCAAACATATAGAATTGAGCAATCAACAATAGACAATTTTAAGTCTTAATGCTGGTGTGACATCATTCTATCAAGTGTAAATCATTGCTTTTGATTGTATTACTTTACTTCCTTATGTGTCAGCAAACACTATAGATTGAAAGTTATAATTTGCTAATTACATTTGTAATTGTAACTATGAAATGACAGGTTTCTTTGCTAAAAGTATAGATATGTGTGCTTTAATAAGTATTTCAAAGTTAACATGCTAATTAAAAATACAAGAAAAAAAATGTAATGAAATACCAGACAAGTACTTTATACATTGATGAACCTTTGAATTATTGAATTGTTTTTTAATTTGTGGCATCTTGTCATATCATATCAAACTCTTTATCTCTAGGGTAACTTATTATATGCTTCATATCTTTGTTTTATTTATTTCAGTATACTTTGGAAACATTTGGTGAAGGTAGATCAACATCTTGGGCATTTGTGCCCTATTCTGGTAAGAGTTGATTTAAAGATATACTTAATAACTATCATACTTGTGTACAAGTTCAAAAGGATTTTCTTGCGGATGTACCAATTCAAAAGGATTCCTTCAGATGTACAAATTCAAAAGGATTTCCTTTCCTGTATACAAATTCAAAAGGATTAATTTTCCTTTCTGATGTACAAGTTCAAAAGGATTTCCTTTCCATGTCTATGTATTGAGGTGTTTACTATATGTATACTGAGCTTAATGACTTTATCAGTACTGCTGTTAAGACAATCATAGATATAGGCTTAGATGGGTGGTGTTATGGTTGAATGACTGAAATTCATTGCATCTTACCAATATACATGTAAGTGAAAATCAAACCAAGGACATCCTTTCGTATGACGTAAAGTTTCCAACCCAAGGTAGCTTTTTTTTAGGGTAATAACTCTAGTTTAAACTCTTTTATTATAGAGTGATTGTGATTTAAGTTGTAAATTAAAATTAGCCACTCTATAAGTCACTTTGTTAAAAGTTTCATATATGGAAACATATTGGTGATCCTTGTATTTCCTGTATTGAGAACCAGACATCTTAACTACTAGCCCCTCCCTTCTCACTTGATTCTACACATGTGCTAGTCTGTGTCTATACAATTTGTGCTTTTGAATATTGATTTATTAAAGTTACCTCTTATTGAAATAAGTTATTGAAGCATTTTGTTACCTTATTAAACAGGACAGCCTATAGATGGGCCTCACAATGGGCCAGCTCCTGGTCCCTGGAATATTGAAGCAAAGCCTCCAAACTTGTTCCAGAATCAGAAAACTGAAATAGAGGTCCCTCACACTGCGTCTGTCAAGGTCTGTGATTATTTGGTTTATCTTCTCTTTTTGAAATAGGAAAGAAAAAGAAAATTCATAAGAAACAGTTTTTCATGGTCTGTATAGAGTCATTAATTTCAAGTCAGTTATATGTAAGAAATTATACATTTTTGAAGTTGGTGAGATCATATTTGCTATGGGGAAAAACATTCTCTCTCCAATGTTTATTTCTGCCATTAAGATATTTTTATTTATTAAAGTAGACAGTGGGCATTTAGTTATTCAAAGATGGATCATGAGGATCAGTTCATGATCTTAATATTAAAATTTTTATTGCTTTTTTGCAGCCCTGTCATAACTGTATGGCTATGGGAAGGATTCGATGCCACAGATGTTTTGGGCGTGGAAGGGTAAGTTGATTTGAATGTTGTTGTTTTTTTTTGGCACTTTTGTCTATTTGCATCTGTACCAGGCAATGTTATTTACAAGTTAAGACCAATCAGGTCAACTTTGTAGATCAATTAAATTATATTTTGGATATTACAGGTACGCTGTAGTAGTTGCGCTGGTCGAGGTCACAAGACAGTTTACCGGAATGGTGAGCATGAGCATGAGAGGTGTCATTGGTGTCATGGAGACGGAAGAAGGAGGTGCTCTTCTTGTATTAGTTACAGTCATACTGATATATTGTCATTAATACAATTAAAAATCTATACTTTAAGAGAGTTTGTAATAAGTGATAAAATTCTGCAGATAAAATTTGTGCAGGTACCTTTAAACTTTAAGCTTTTTCAGTTGACAAGGCACTTAAGTTGTTTTTATCTGTTCAGTTTCAGAGATAATTGATTAAAGAACTCAAAAGGTCAATAGTCAAAGCTACCCTTTGAAGCAGTTTCATTAAAAATTAACGTTTTATAATGCTTTTAACATAGAATAGTAATTTTTCTGTTACAGATGTATGACATGCCATGGATTTGGAATGATAACATGTGTCTGTTGTCAAGGTCATTGTCAGCTGAAATGTTACATTAAACTGACAATACTCTGGTAAGATATTTTTATTTTAATAATGTTACATAGTTTGAACGATTTACTTTTATTTCATGAAACTGACAATACTTTAAAAAAACAGCTTAGTTACACATTAATCTGACAATACCCTGGTAAGAACAGCTTAGTTAAATATTAAACTAATAATAACCTGGTAAGAACAAAGAACAGCTTAGTTACATATTAAATTGTCAATACCCTGGTAAGAACATCATAGTTACACATTATTCTGACAATAATCTGGTAAGAATAGCTTAACTACACATTAATATGACAATATCTGGTAAGAACAGCTTAGTTACATATTAAATACACAATACTCTTGTAAGGAACAGCTTAGTTACACATTAATCTAACAATACTCTTGTAAGGAACAGCTTAGTTACACATTAATCTAACAATACTCTTGTAAGGAACAGCTTAGTTACACATTAATATGACAATATCTGGTAAGAACAGCTTAGTTACACATTAATCTAACAATATCTGGTAAGGAACAGCTTAGTTACACATTAATCTAACAATATCTGGTAAGGAACAGCTTAGTTACACATTAATCTAACAATACTCTTGTAAGGAACAGCTTAGTTACACATTAATCTAACAATATCTGGTAAGGAACAGCTTAGTTACACATTAATCTAACAATACTCTTGTAAGGAACAGCTTAGTTACACATTAATCTAACAATATCTGGTAAGGACAGCTTAGTTACACATTAATCTAACAATATCTGGTAAGGAACAGCTTAGTTACATATTAAATACACAATACTCTTGTAAGGAACAGCTTAGTTACACATTAATCTAACAATATCTGGTAAGGAACAGCTTAGTTACACATTAATCTAACAATATCTGGTAAGGAACAGCTTAGTTACACATTAATCTAACAATACTCTTGTAAGGAACAGCTTAGTTACACATTAATCTAACAATATCTGGTAAGGACAGCTTAGTTACACATTAATCTAACAATACTCATGTAAGGAACAGCTTAGTTACACATTAATCTAACAATACTCTTGTAAGGAACAGCTTAGTTACACATTAATCTAACAATATCTGGTAAGGACAGCTTAGTTACACATTAATCTAACAATACTCTTGTAAGGAACAGCTTAGTTACACATTAATCTAACAATATCTGGTAAGGACAGCTTAGTTACACATTAATCTAACAATACTCTTGTAAGGAACAGCTTAGTTACACATTAATCTAACAATATCTGGTAAGGACAGCTTAGTTACACATTAATCTAACAATACTCTTGTAAGGAACAGCTTAGTTACACAGTAATCTAACAATACTCTTGTAAGGAACAGCTTAGTTACATATTAAACTCATATTATTGCTATTTTATCATTATTTAACTGACAACCCAAGACTAAAATGCTGAAATACATTAATTGCCTCAATAATTAATCAATAACATTTTTCTGGCACCTTTGAATTACTCAGTTATATTTTCCTGAAAACATATGATTTACCGGATAATATTCTACTGACATCTTAAATAATTCTGAATAACATTTCCAAGAATGACTTTTAATGGACACCTCTGGAATTTCTCAGTAAGGTCCTTTCTGACAACACATAAATTACTCCATTACATTTGATTGACACTTTGAGAAGTACTTGATTATATGGAAATACATATAACACCTCAAAAATAACTATTACATTTTTCTGGCACTTCAAGAATTAATCAAGTACACTTTTCTGAAAACACGTTTATTCAATAACATTCTACCTTCTGTATTATTTTTTCAAGAATTACATAATCACTTTTAACAGACACCTCTAGACTTTCTCAGTAACTTTTTCCTGACATTACAAGAATTACTCCATTACATTTAACAATTACTTCAAGAATTATTCAGTTAAAAAATATTTCTTGACATCTAGAGAATTTCTTGATTACTCTTTCAATAACACATTAAGTACTTGATTACATTTTACTGACAACACAATAATTGCTTAATTACATTAATTTTACTGACAACACTTATTACTAAATTACATTTTAAACGCAACACAAAAGTTAATTAACTACATTTTACTGAGAACATAAGATATAGTCAATGATATTTTACTGATACAATTAAATTTCTGATTACATCTTTCTGACAAAGAATAACAACTTAAATAAATTTTTCTGACAACACAAGAAGTACTCCATTACATGATACTGACAGAAATAGGAAATGATAATGATATGTTGTCACTTTTCAGGACTAACCATTTACAAGACCATATTGTGGAGAGAACAGCTCTACCAGATCACCTTATACGTAATGTTCAAGGTCAGGTTGCATTTCAAGAACAACAGCTTAGAGTGAGTGAAAAAAAATAATTTAAAAGAATTATAGAATGTTTTATTCAAAAGAATGTTTAGTTTTTATCTTCACATATAATATTTTGAGCATTTAGAGGGAGATTACTGTTGTTAATTTTATTAAAACAGCCTAGGGTGAGTGAACATGCTCTCCAAAAAAAAGTAGTTTTTTATCCACCGAACTGTTTTGAACTTTGAATATGGGAGGATGAATCATTTGGAATAAGTAACAAATTTGAGAAATACAGTCATGTAAAAAATAAATCAAAATTGAATTTTATTTTTGTAACAATTTTTAAGGCATTTAGAATTTCTTTGTAAGACATAATCATACTTTAATTTTTCTCATAATTTTACTTAATATTATGTCTTTTTTTTTTTTTTTTTTTAAATGTTCAAGTACTAATATTAGGAAAAAGTAAAGGGATTCACATCTTGATAAGATTTAGAGATGAGTTTTTCCCTTCAGGTATGGGCAATTAATCACTTCCCAGATGCTGAGATAAATACTGCGTCTCAGAGGCTGGTTGCCCAGCATGCCACAGCATTTCCCACAGAGAGAATACTCATGCAGGTATGATATAACTGCTTAATCAGTAGTTCCTTATTTGAGCCGCGTCATGACAAAACCAACATAGTGCGTTTGCGACCAGCATGGATCCAGACCAGCCTGCACATCCGCGCAGTCTGATCAGGATCCATGCTGTTCGCTTACAAACCGTATAACAAGTAAAGAAACTGATAGCCAACAGTATGGATCCTGATCAGACTGCGTGGATGCGCAGGCTGGTCTGGATCCATGCCGGTCGCAAAGCCATTATGTTGGTTTTGTCATGACGCGGCTCATTTAAAGCAATTGTTAAAACTTCTACATTTGTTAAAGACTTTAATTTGATGGGTTGGCCCTGTTTTGAAATTGTAGTATGTCCAGGCCTGATACTGCTACTTACTTTTATTTAGTCAACCATTCATCACAATGAGGAGAACATTGGATTTGTAATCCTGGAGAGGCTGGTTCATTCCTCGAGGAAGGTGAAAATTCTCCCTGATAGTTGACCTCAGACATATTAAATTCATCTGTCTCTCACCGCTGATTCATATAGGATTAGAAGTAGCTTACTTGCAGAGAAATTGGTAATGACTAGCTAGTGAACCAGAAAAGCAGGTTAAGTGGACTGACTGCCATGATACCAACAAAAAAGTGTTTAAATTAGTTGAAACATCATACTTCATGTACTAACAAACAGTATCCCTTTATCTTCTTTGGGTTAGTCTGCAAAGCAAGCAAGTTTTATAAATTCAGATTCTTTAGGTGCATACATATTTATCTCACTCTATATGTCTGCAGCTTGAAGTCTTACTTGTGTATGAATTTTAATTAATACATTAAAAGATATTCATTTGGATGACCTTTGTTGTTTTTTTTGCAATAAATTTCCGTAAATTAAGATTGTTTACAAGATGTTTGTAACCAACAGAGGCACCAGGTGAGGATTATACCCGTGACACAGGCCTACTACAAGTGGAAAGGGCAAGATTTGGATTATTTTGTGTATGGATTTGACAAGAAAGTATACGCACCGTCATACCCACAACAATGCTGCTGTGGATGTAATGTCTTGTAGAATGTCACAGGTGAAATGGTTACAGGTCAAATACCAATTGGCGACATTTGAGTATTAAATTTGATACCATAATAAGTCTTAAATTTGGTTTTTATATGCAGAATTGTATTTTCCAAATTTAAGTGTAACCTTCTGATAGGTTAATTTTCAGTCAGTAAATAATAACAATAATTACTTGTTGATATTTAGTAAGTGGTGAATATCATCACTGATTGGTTGTTTTTTAACTAAAACCACTGAGAAACTGAAAATTCTAAATGCTTACCCAGGATGACATTAAAAAAGTCCTATTTTGTGCAATTAATGCTATTCTTGTATATTTTACACTGCAATGTTGTGTAATGGAGATTATGATGTAGAGGAGTTTTAGTATTATAGAAAAGTTGACATATTTAAATAGATATTACAGTATAACTGTTGTAAATTTTATGTTATTATATTAGACTATACCTTAACTAAAGGTTGATAAAAATATATATGTGTTATTGACGTATGTCACTATGTTATATTAATATGAATTATGCCCCAGTTAGTTGTAACCATGCTCATGTTCCTCTCCTAGCCATGGCATGGGCCTGAAGACAAAGATACTGGGATTACAAAACCATCACCTTAGTGCAGTAACGGGTTAACTTCGGTAAAATTATGTAAGGAGTTAATCTGTTACTGCACTAAGGTGACTAATGATAGATGCATTATTATATCTTGTTGATGATTTTAAAACCTTGTTTTGTATATAGATTTCTAATTGTTTTGCAAATTTCTTCATTTACCATTTGAATAAAAAACATACATTTTGCAGAATTCTTGTTCAGTTTTATATTGGGGAAGCGTTGTTTATATTTTTGTATTATGTAAGTCAAAACCATGTTTTTATTTGATATTTCTTTCATATATAATTAGGAACAAACTTTTAAAGTGTAATTAAATTGGGATTTTATTATTAGTTATTTAATCAACATTTTGGATACCTCAAATTAATTTTCTCTCTGGCTTTTCTTCTTCTTCTTCCTATTAGTAAGTCATCACCATTGTAAATTTAGGTCCTGCTATGCACATCTCCAAGTATGGAAGATTGGGGACTACTGTGCAGAAGGTCATTGAAAATTTGAAATAATGAGAGGCACAAGAGTTTTTCTCTATTATAAAGCTGGAAATCATCGTATGGTTTTAACATATAGAGAATTTCCAGTTTTACTAGTGGAGGAAGACCTCAGGTGCCCCTCTTTACATTATTTCAGACACAAAAGATACCACCAAATTAGGTTTATCTACATATATGTGAATTCTAACCTGTCTATCTTAATTTTAGCTTTTTTATTCTGAAACCCCTTGAAAATAACATTGGACAGTTTCTTTTATGCAACTTATGCAAGGTAGATATTTTGTACATGACTCGTTGATAATTTTTCTTCCTGAAAAAGCTGAAAGTAACAGTTTAACAACAACAACAGCAAAGAAATGGACATCAATGCAGGATGTAATTGAAATTTGTTAAGTGTTAACTTATTTGGAACGTATATAACATTATCGTATATATTTCAGATTGTATATTTTTTGTCCTTTATGTATACTTTTACATCAATTGTTTATTTTTATACTGAAGATATTTTTTTTTATACATTTTTGTTTGTCTATCGAATATGTTTAATGCAATATTCTTTTTAAATTAGTACTTTTTTTCAATTTTGTGTTAAGTGTTTAAATGACTTCTTCTGCCTGTTTTGTTTTTCCAATTTTTAAAGTGTCTTAATTAAATCTTATAATGTCAAAGTTTAGTTGATATTTTCATTAATTGACAAAGTTATTGTGGTTGAAAGGCTGTGGTCATTGACAGTGAATTACTCGACTCCAATTGAATAGGGTTTGAATCCTATTTGTGTATTTCAGGTGTATACCCAGCTAGCTTATATAAATGTAATAACTCAAATGCCCATGCGTGCCTTGGAAGAAAAAAAAATCATGTTGGGGACACCTGAGGTCTTTTTTTACCAGTTAATTGTTTCATGTTATCAAATGTGAGGTTTATGTAATCTTTTTCAACCTTTATAAGTATGATTTTTTTCTATACTTATTTGGTGTTCCCGCCCTTTATCTAAGACAAGTATTTTTGCTTAAGTTGAATATCAGACCTAGTTCATAATTTTGTCAGCATTCTATCAGTAAACGGGTAACATTTCAAGAAATTGTTTGTTAATAGTGATTTTATGGATATACACAATAGCATTAGAATACAATGGATCTGATATTTTTGTTTGCAACCAAAAATGCTTTCTCTAAGGTTTTTAGTATGCCCGAGTGAATCCATAGTTACTTCCCTTTTAAAGCAACTACATAATTTGCCTAACAAAGTTACTTCCCTTTAACAGCAATGTGTCATTTGCATGCCTGACTTATAAATACAATCATATGTAAAGGCTATGCTTTCTTTATAAATTTTAAAAATATATTATATATATGTATTACTAAAGAAATAGAAAAAAAAATCTAATTTGTTAAACATTATAGTGGAAGAACTCCATTGGTGTTGTGTCAGTGTTCCAAACAAAATTTCAGAAGTTTAATATATCTTGTTAAAGTATTTTGTTTTGCATGTGATTTATGTTAAGCATTAAATAATACTGTAATAATTATAGTATGTATAGATTGGTTTGTAATAAACTTAATGTTAAATGGGTTTTTATTTTCAGTTCTTCAGTATAACTTTTATGGGTTTTTTTCGTTCAAAACACACCCATACCCTTGTTTTTATCCATGACTGTAGATTGAACTTAAAATGATATAGAGATTTTACTGAAATATCACATATTTCTTATTTTAGTACTCATTACTTAAAAATCTACTGCAGTTTTTTAACCCACATTGAGTAGCAAAAGTGTACCAATATTTGAAGGTAATTTTAATACAAAAACAATAGCTGATATGACACCAATTGGTTAAAACTGCAGAGATATTTATGCAGTGTTAAGCAAGGTTTCAATGACTTGACCATGCCACAAGTAAGATGCAATGCAATAATGACTTGGCTATGCCACTAGTAAAGTACATGTATAAGCAATACTTAGATATGCCACCATTTACATGTAAGGCAATTATGGCTTTGCTATGCCACCAGTGAAGTGCAAGGCAATAATGACTTGGCTATGCCACCAGTAAAGTCTGAGGCAATAATGACTTGGCTATGCCACCAGTAAAGTGCAAGGAAATAATGACTATACTATGCCATCAGTAAAATGCAAGGCAATGACTTGGCTATGCCACCAGTAAAATGCAAGGCAATGACTTTGCTATGCCCCCAGTAAAATGCAAGGCAATAATGACTTTGCTATGCCACCAGTAAAATGCAAGGCAATAATGACTTGGCTATGCCACCATTAAAATGCAAGGCAATGACTTGGCTATGCCACCATCAAAATGCAAGGCAATAATGACTTGGCTATGCCACCAGTAAAGTGCAAGGAAATAATGACTATACTATGCCATCAGTAAAATGCAAGGCAATGACTTGGCTATGCCACCAGTAAAATGCAAGGCAATGACTTTGCTATGCCCCAGTAAAATGCAAGGCAATAATGACTTTGCTATGCCACCATCAAAATGCAAGGCAATAATGACTTGGCTATGCCACCAGTAAAATGCAAGGCAATGACTTGGCTATGCCAAAAGTAAAATGCATGGGCAATAATGACTTGGCTATGCCACCATTAAAATGCAAGGCAATATGACTTGGCTATGCCACCATTAAAATGCAAGGCAATGACTTGGCTATGCCACCAGTAAAATGCAAGGCAATGACTTGGCTATGCCCCCATTTAAGTGCAAGGCAATAATGACTTGGCTATGCCGCCATTAAAATGCAAGGCAATATGACTTGGCTATGCCATCATTAAAGTGCAAGGCAATAATGACTTGGCTATGCCACCAATAAATTGCAAGGCAATAATGACTTGGCTATGCCACAAGTAAAATGCAAGGCAATAATGGCTAATCTCAGTGCCACCAGTGAAGTGCAAGACAGTTATGTCTTGACTATGTCACAAGTGATGTGTTAGGCAATAGTGACTTTGCTATGCAACCAGTAAAGTCTAAGCAATGATGACTTAGTATGCCATCATTTAAATGTAAGGCAATAATGATTTAGTTATGCCACCAGTAAAGTGTAAGGCCAGTCAGACCTGACTGTCTACTGTTAGCTTCTCATTGTCAACAATTCAGTAGCGGTGTTGACAAGTAATATATAAATTGCTGGTTGAGAGTGTTCAAAGCCTGTCAGGGACAAGCCCTTGTTTCTTTAAAGAAAGAAACTTTACACTAATTGCACAGTACTGGTTGGTCCCAGGAACATATCCAAAGTGTAATGCACAATGGAGGTTTTAAAGAATATCTGTATAAACTAATTTTTTTATCTAAATCTTTTGCATAAACAATGTTAATAGAATGTTCTGAATTCCAAGCCTTTTACACATAGTTCAACAAATAAAAAAGCCTAGCTGGTATAGTTCTTTCCAATGCTGTTTTAATTGAACTGATCACTGCTATGGGTTTGAATCCCGACAGGGACTTTGGATTCTTTCATGTGAGGAAGCTATCCAGCTAGCTTATGGAACGTCGGTGGTTCTACTCAGGTGCCCGTTCATGCCTGAAATAATGCACGGAAGGGCATATGAGGTCTTCCTCCATCAGTAAAGCTGGAACGTCGCGATATGACCTTTACTGTGTTGATGTGACATTAAACCCAAAACGAAAAAAATTGGACTGATGGAAATGAATGCAACAAAAATGAGAATATGTCTTGTTATAAAAGAAGCACGAACAGCTTGCAATAAACAAGGGAATAAATCCATACAGCCATATATATATATAACAATAAGAGTTACCTCCCAAATAGGATTACGTTCAATATTGGTTTGAAAGAACGAGATCAATAACTTTTTGCAATTTATTCAGGACTTCAGCCCTTTTGTAAAGGCTGGACATTCTGAAATGATATTAAAATATATCAAAATTTAGCTTAATCAACATTTTGTCCATGGCGGAGTGGTTACGGTCATTGACTGCAAATCACTTGCCTGTCATCGTTGTCCTCGATTCTCTCATGAGAGAAAGCTATGCAGCTAGATTAGGGAATGTCTGTGATTCTACTCAGGTTCCTGTTTGTGCCTGAAATAATGGACAAGGGGGCACCTGAGGCCTCCCTCCACAAGTTAAAGCTGGAAAGTTATCAAAAGACCTATAATGTAAAACCCAAACCAAAAGAAAGAAACAAAAAAGTATTTAAAGGCATATACTACAGTTACATTTATTAGAATGAAAACTATATTTAAATTAAATTAAACTCTGCATGTTCTAAAAATGATAACAGAAACATTTTAACAAAAATCCTCACTTATGAGATTATATGCCCTTCTGTAATATAAAAAATCTGGTAACAAAAAGAAAATGCAACTGGAAAAGCCTGTAAAAAAATGTGTAAATTAATTGTCTTGCTTTCAAGCAGTGCTACTTGATACTAAATTAAAAAAAAAAATTAAAAGTATATAAAAGATTATTATATCCAGCGTACAAATAAAGTGGTTTGAACACACTAAATATATTAAATGGACTTCTTCATTGTCAAATCTGGTCAAAGCTATTCATTAATTTTAGGGAAATTTAAAAACTAGTATTGACTGAATAGTAACCAGTGCAAACCATGATCAGATGCACAGGTTGGTTTAAACATATTTTATTTAGAATATTTGTACATGTGTAAATAACAACATAACAATAATTATAGATTTTTGCCGAAAGCAGAAGCTTATAGAAGCCATTATCTAGATGCACAGGTTGATCTTGGTCTGCACAGGTCACATGGGTAGATTCAGTCACTGCTTAAGCAGACTTAAGTTTAAATACTACTGTATAACACTAATACCTATTTTTGAGTTTAAGCTAATCATCAGGAGTGCAGCTTTTTTATTGTTAAGTCTTTCAATCATGCTTACAAACTCTCTTTACATAATTATGTTATAAGTTCTTGATTAAGATCTGGCGCTGCATTTTGATTGTGTTTAGTTATATTGATAAAAATATCAAGAAATCTTTGAACGCAAAATAAAAAATTCAAGTACAAATTTGCTTGTGAATGACTGCAAACAAGTTTGAATGCGATACAAACTTACCATATTGAAGACAAACACAGGGTCCTACCTGCTTTTATCATTTAAATGTCCATAGATCAATAAAACGGGAACAAAATTCAACAAATCTATTTACAAATAGGCAAGTCAGGGTTTTTTATTGCAGAAGTCTGTGTTTGTCAACTATTTAAATCAAACAGATTTTTGTTGAAACTTTTGTCACATGTACAGAAAGTGTTTTGACTGTGAATTGAAATGAGGATAAGCATATTTTAAAGGTATAGTATTTACATATTGATTTCTTTTCATGTTGTGATAAATTATACAGATAAAGGATATGCAACTTAGAAATACAGTTAAACCAGAATGAGTAGACTGCTATCACATGTTTTGAAGCATAACAGATTTACAATAAAGCATTACGCCTCCTTATACTTTACTTTACAGCATAACACCTCCAGATTCCTGCTGATTTTATGAAATTTAAAAAAATGTATATAGTAAAATGGGCGAATAGAGTGATTTAATATGGCTTTTATTATCCACAAAAATATTTATTACATGTTGAATTATCCAGGCATTGTCATTATACTCTGTTAGTTTTAACACGATTACTAGTTTATGGCTGTTGGTGGTTTTAATTTCCAACCTTCTCGAGCCTGAAACTTATGAACTCTTCTCCCAGTAGAAAATTTAGTAATGCTTTTAAGTGTCCCTATGACCTTTAAGATGTCCTTGATATTTGGTTAAAAACACCCTAGTGTCCTATAGCACTTTAAGATGTCCTTGTATTGTTGGACAATCGCCTAAGCACTAAGCCCTGCCTCGTTAACCTATAGTAGTGTTGGCATGGGTGTCCAGTTCCGGTTCCTGATATTTTAACCTGTATCACACTAACAATTTTAATGGACATGTCGCTCTTTAAATCTGGACAAAATCATTCATCATTTTTAGGGAGACTTTCAAACATAAGTACTCACTCAGACTGAATTGCAATCCTGTGCAGACCATGATCTAAGCCTTATCTTGGTCTTCACTGGTCGCATAGGTTGATTAACAAATGCAGTCAGCAGACAGAGTGTTTTATAAAAGGATTAGTATTTAACGATTTTGGTACAAGATTATTCATTGACAGCTCCAACTTCTGTGGAATGGGTGCATTTAAGATATATTTTTGGAGTGATGTAAGGTTTTATGCTTTTGCTAAACTTAATGAACAATTAATATGATTTAATTCTATAAATTTTGGATCACATTTCATGTATTATTGCAAATTTCCATGTTTGTTTGTTTTTCTAGTTTGATTGCATGTGAAATATCTTCTTATATGAACAAAGTATGTCAAAGATTGGCATAAACAATTTATAATTGGTGTGCAATTACTTGTAAATAGTTATTTAATAGCAACAAATGGTCCATAAAATCCTTTAGTTATCCATTATTCTGGCACATTATATACATTTTCATGATAATTGTTCTCCATGCAGTTAAGCATGCCACCTTCATAAAAGCTTTTCTTCGTAAAAATAATGTGCCTATTTTTCATATTTCTATGTGCATAAAACTTTGTAATTAATGCAATAATTGTGGCATGATGTCATTTCACATCTGATATATTGTTTATATTATTCTAAAGATATTACTAAAACAATTAATTTTTCTGTTATTCATGATTTATACTTGAATGAATGAAATATGTTTTAAATATTCGGTACCAAAAAACAACAAAGTTATTTTTGAACAGAACAGATTTTTTAAGCTATTTTTTTTATACATGACTTATGATTAAGACAGACCAAATGCAGATAACTATGGTCATATCATTAGAATGACTGAATGATTATGTAAATTGCAGATTATTTTTATGTTAATATCTTAAAAAGCTTACATTGGTCTTGTTCATTTTAGGATGAAGTATTTTATATATCTGCTTAAATTTTCATTCATTAATTATTATATTACTTTTCTTTTGCATTGACATTATTATTCAGCTCATCTAAATATTAGATTTTTTTACTGTTAAAATATCAAATATAATTCACTGTTATAATTATTGTTCAGCTACAGTGAAATATATTTGATTACTTTGTACTGTACTGTTTTCTGTTTTAATAATCAAGCACTGGAAAACAATAAAATGTTTAATATTTCCTTATCCCACAGTACACTACATTGATTATCCTTGAATAAACCTCTTGCATGCCTCTGTTGCACTCTGAGTGGTTAAGGTAGGTGATTTCTTACCCTTGTCCCAACATGGTGAAATGATGCCATTGTTTTAGGTTTCTATCATGTAAGGAAGCTAGCCACTCAGCTTGCACAAGATTGGTGGGTCTGTGCAGGTCTGCCTCTAAGAAATTTGCCATAAATTTGACCTTTAATATTTGTGTGACTTAACACCACCCCTAGCTACCCTAGCCCTGACAACCCCACCACTCATAACTTCACCTGCAATTAAATTGTACAAAGATCAAGGGAGATAATTAGAATAATATTTTGTGACTGAATTCCTGCATGAATTCCTAAGATGATCCAGTATAGATCAACTATTGTTGACAAAATAACACTGTAGCTGTCAATAGTGTCATAGGTTATCATACCCAATTTTATCTGATTTCATAGAAAAACAATAACTTTACTCATTCAGTTTACCTCACATTCAGAAAACTCTTTAATAAGTCATGATACCTGTAAACCAAAACCCTAATGCTTTTTCCTTTACTTTAAGGCAATCAATAGAAATTCTGTTTGATTTTGAATTGATAAACTCGTGCTGAGCATATGTGTGCCAATTGTTCTGTTATTGAATTGAAAACATGCCTTGTTCAGGGTTATTGGGCTTGAATGGAAGGTTGATACATGTTTAACTAGGATTATTAGGTTGCTAAGTAAAATATTGATTAGTAACTTATTTGAAAGCATTATTACTATAGGTTTTTATTATTTTGACACTATTAGATTATTGATGATTTTTTTTTCTCCAAACATTAAGCATATGGTATGAGGCATTGGTCAAAAGTGTCAGGCCTTTCACTCATTAATTGGTGGCTATTTTAGTATGGTATTCTGCTATAAATATGTTGAATAAAACATACTAACTACAATTGATAATAAGTAAGGAATTTTTTTTTTTAAATAATACATCAATATGTTTTCATTGCATATTTTTTCTTTCAGACTTTGTTACCAGTATGTTAATTTGAGTTTGTAATCATTATTTAATTATATATGGGTTAAATATGGTATGTAATGTATTACGATTAAATTGCTGTCCGGTTTTCAGAGGATTTTTCATGCATAAGTAGCCATAGAAAACCATTTGGTTTTCGAAATTCAGAGGTTCCGGTATTTCGAAGATATTTTTTCAATGAATTTATACGGAAAAAATATGCGACTTTTAAAATTGTCCAGGTTTTCATTGGGTCCTGTTTTCTGTATAGCCATGCCAGCCTTCACATGTACTTGCAAGCATCTATCAGACATTGATCTGCCATAAATGTTATTTTTGATTCCAATATTATTTTGATAATGAAATCAAATTTTTGAAAATAACTTAGGCCTGTTTCGAATTTTCAAAAACAAAAAATCATACTGAAAATGATTAGAATTGACAACCTGATCTCTTTATTCTCATGAAAAAAGAAAATATGTCATTATCTCTGATTTCAAAGGTATTTTTGCTTTCCCTTTTTCAGTGCCACTGAATGAATTACCTTTTTTTTGCCACATTGATCAGAAGTCATCCATCATGTAAAGATATCCTGGCTTCTGCTCTCATTGTTTGACAAATTAACGGAGGATAAAAACTGACAGAAACAACATGTTTGGTTTTTACCCTTTACAATTACCTTTACAATAGTTTCAATCACTAGGGGGCCCTGTGACAAAAGTGTTATTTTATTGAAGAGGAAGACTATTCTGTCCATTGGTCAGAAGTCAAGTTGGATTGTTATGACATTTTATAATGTAAACACCAGCAGGCAGTCGGCCATGCTCTGTTTGAAGACATTCTATCAATAAGGCTCAAGTGTCATCTATTAAGTAAACATTATATTGATGTTAAAAATCTATGAGAAAATAGGATGTAGCTAATAAAGAAAAACATTCTTTTCACTTTAGCTTTCTGGTGTTTTGATTTTGATATTATAGGAGTGAAATACGCTTTATTACTTAAGGCGGATTTGAATGTGCATGGTGCTTAGTTAACACTTTCCCTGCTGAACATCTTAAATGGACTTGACTATCTTTCAATCAAGTTAAAACAATTCATCATAAAAGGGAAAATTTGAAAATATTTACTACACTGTACTGACCATAATCAGATGGCACAAACTTTCGGCTGATCTTCGTCTGCACTTACTCAGGTAGCATGGGTATAATCAGTTACCTGTCGCAAGTTGTGCTTACTTGTTTGTTTTCTGTTAAATTATAATTGTCCCCATGCAGTGACAAAATATTTTAAAGCACATACTGTTACTGCATCCATGCAACACCTTCACTGAATATATATTTACAATGCAAAATACCATTACATTAACTTGGACTTGAAAGTTTTATCCCAAGTTAACTTTGTTTCAAGGTTTAATGAACCCCCCCCCCCCAGTTTAAAATTGTTTCAAGCAATTAGTAATGGTAGCTGATTTTTCTTTTCAAGTTTATCCTCCTGTTTCTATTTTAACATCTCAATATGTGCTGCTTTCATTATCCTTATAAATATTATAAGATGTTCTTCTCAAATCTTTCCATAATTTATGCACTTGTCTTGCTATTAGTAAACAGTCTTACAAAAATAAGTCATTATTTTAGAGTTTTCTAAAGTATCTATCTAGTGACAGTTTGATTGTAGGAGTGTGCTCACTGGCCTGCCTTTATAATATATGTACATGATGTAGTATAAAACAATTTCAGCTTTTGTTGTTGGATGTCAAAGGATTAAATTTCTATCATTTATATACTTGATATAGCAAAAATTTTAATGACATCAATATAAGAAATCTTGATCATAGATGGCTGGGTCAGTCTGGTGTATTAGGGGTTGGTCTATTAATAAGACACATTGCATTGTGTTACAAGGATTACCAACCACCTGGACATAACAAGACAAAAAGATAATATTAAAGAAATCATATTGACTGTTATTACATAATTATTATGACTTCATAAAGAGGTTAAGTAAGTGCTGATTTGGACACCATGTAGTGATATTACATTGTATTTTTGAAGATCTGTGACCCCTACGTATAACTGTTAGATAAAGCAAGCTACAAAAAGTGTAATGTTAATTGGTATGAGATGGAAGGCTGGTTTTGGATAAATGGCTGTATGCTTTGAATCACCCTCACCTCTTATTGCTGTGTACTTAAATCCTAGGGATGTTAGGTAAATGGGGCCCCTGGAGTCTCTTTATATGGGAAAACTAAGTTCTGATTGATTATCGTTAATTTAGACTTCTGCAAGGTCTGTTTTAATGCCAGGCAAAGCACCTGCAAGTGCATCTTCCCTAATTAAACTGTAAAGTTCCAATAATAATCTTTACATTGTCAGTATGACTTCAAGTTCAACAAAAAAGGCAAATTTTGATCGTGATCATTGTGCCAATACTATGCACTATTTTACTATATTTCCATCAATATTTGATAAAAAAATATTTAAAAAAAAAGAAGAAATTTTGTAACTTTTTGTTGCATTTTGAATACTGACTTTTGCATTGTGTGAATATTACTATTCAGTCATATAAGTATGTTTAACTTAATATTTTTAAAATGAAATAATAATACTAGAAAAAAAACACTTAAATTTAATTAAACCCATGGATTAATCAGTAAATATGTTAATGTAATACAATGTAGAATTTTTCAGGTGAGCTGTTAAGCATAATATATTTAATCAATGTCTTGCAGAAAGTTTATTTTACACACACCTGATTTATGTAGAAATGCTGCACAATGTTAATCAAAATGTGAAATTGATTTTCCTCCAGCCTGATTCTATCTTAAACAACATTTAATTACAGTAAATTGTGATTGATCAATGCAAAACTAATTGCACATTGCAGGAAGTAGGTTTCAGCTAGCTCATCAGCATAGATTCAAATCATACAGTGAAAACAATGTGAAATGTGGGGACAAAACAGAACAGAACAGAATTGTTCCACCAGATTTGTACAATGTGAAAGAAAGACAAAGTGAGTGTTTGCATGTCATGGTGAGTCCCTACAAAATCTTTTTTTGTTGTTAACTTTGTTTCTAAATAATTTCATGTGAGAATGTTAGGTCCCAAAGGTTGATTGTTGATTGTAACAGTCTCTTAACCCATAGAGTGTTGGTTGGTCCATTTTAAGGCTTACCATGCAAAATATCTAAAATGGACTTGATTTTCTTTCAATATGGTCAAAACTATTTGTCAGCTTTAGGGAAATTTTCAAAATAAGCACCAACTGAATTAGCTAACAGTGCAAACCAATTGATCAGATGGCAAGGATATGGCAACTGACCTTTGTTTGCACTAAGGTCAGTTGCTGCTAGCATGCTAAGGGTTTATGCAAGAAAGGACTTTTAGTTTCGAGCAGGTAACATTGACTACAAGTTGACACCAACATGTTGTAGAACATAGTTGTTGTCTAATAGAATTACAGCTATGTTTCCTCATATACCAGCAGTGCTAGTTATTATCAAAAAAGAATCAGACTGTAAATGAGTGGTTCCTAGTAAGCTTCAAGTGTTTTTTTCACAATCAAGCTTTAGAATAAATACTAGCTATCAAAACAGAAAAATAATCATATGAAATTGTCCGACAAACTGTCCTTTAAATGAAATTAACTGCCTGCTGTAACTTTGCCTAGAAGCTCTGTTGAATTTTAGAAAGCGTGTGAATTAAACCCCCCAAAACAAAGATATTTTATAAGCTTTTCCTTTAATATGCATCACAGCTCTTATTTCAAAAGTACACTTTTCAAAATAATTTAATTTTCACTTTAAATTCTCACAAAAGAAACAATTTATTTTCAAGTTGAAAGTTTATTTTCACATTCAAATTTATTTTTAGTAGTTTTACATTTCAGACTTGTTTGTTTTGTGATAGAAAGCCCTGTAATTGTCACAGTATGTTGATGTAACTTGTCACTTACAGCAGGAAAGAAGAATAAAAAGGTGAGAGATAGTCTATTACATTATGTACTTTGTTTAAAATATATTATATGTTTAACACCTGTAACTTTATTATAGTAGCAAGATTTAGAGGTGTTTAACTTCACTGCAACAGTTTCTATACCTTTATATAAATTACAGCAGTCGTTTGAGGATTTAAGAGGAGTAATTTCACTTTAAGTTGCAGCAGAGTAATGATTTAAAAGATATTTTCAGTGTATTTTTTGTTATTGATGGCTGCCATTACAGTTGTCTGTTGTGAAATCTAATGATTCTTCATACACTGAAAATATTTAAGTTCTACGAGGGATTCTAACTGAAGATTTTTTTTTTGCTCCTTTTTGAGATACTACCTTGTAATCATTATATGTTAGTTTATGCTTGGTATATGAATACAGGGCTATATGGAGAATTTGCAGATCATTTTATTTTTGATCATCCGTATGTCCGTCTGTCTGTAATTCTGTGTGTCCGAATAAATCTTTAATCCCGCCATAATTCGCCAAAATGGACTAAATCCACTTTACAGTTTTCCTAGGACTGGTTGACAAAATGCCACTTTTAAATTTGCCACCAGTATAGAGCCGGGCCAATATTTAAAAGAAAAAAATCAATCAATAAAACACCAAAATATTTTTAGCAGATTTACAAATGATCTCTTGTACAATGGGTTAAAACATATTGAATACATATGGCTAAAATACTGGGGAACAATCATGTGTCAACAGTAGTCGTAATTTTCACAATTCCTGTGACAAACACGTCTGCTTATTTTATCTGTATATTTTCATTGTTTGGGGACATTTTAGCAGATTTGTAAATGGCATCACACTTATGTGTTATATGGTTTTATATAGATAATGGACAAAAGGAAGTAAACAGTCTGTGTTGGACTAATACCATAGATTATAAATTTCTTCTATGATATATCATCAATAATACTTTTAAAATTCATTTCTGTGGAATACTTTTTTCTTCTTACATTATAAATCAAGTAAATCCAATGAAGTGGAAAATAGGTTTTGGCGATATTATAAATCAAGTGGTGCTACAAAAGAGAGAAGTATTTGATTGTAATTATCAGTTTTGAAGTTTTGCATTGTTAATATAATTGGATGCAATCAGGCAATGGGAATTATTGGACAGCCAGTTGTTAGCAGCTATGAATAAATATTGATAATTTAATCTGTAAGTATACAATATTTTCATTGATTAGATATTCGATGGTACCCAAGCTATGTTATACAAAAATTCATCAGAAAACAGGATACATTAAAGTAGCATAGTTGCTTGCTTGCTTGCCTTGCATTAAGTGAGGGGCGAGCTTGATAAGCATGTTATATGAATGAATATGAAATAAATAGAGGATATTGAATGAGTGTAAGTTCAATACTGAATTTATTAAACGAGTTGAATAAAATGATATTATGCGAGCCTCTGGCGAGCATAATATTACTTTATTCAACAAGTTCATTAAATCCAGTAATGAACCTACACGAATATGATATTTTATTTATCACATACCAATAATAAAGACTGTTTAAAGTGAAAAAGAATCACTCCATCAAAGCCCTTATAGTATAACGCAAACAATGTCACATCAAAAAAATGCACAGCCGTGCAATACCATTTTAACGGAGTTGCAAAAGCAGCATGGGTATAAACAGTATGCTCACAGCTACAAATTGAAGTCTATTGGTAATACTGTAAGTTAAGGGAGTTATTAAAGTTAAAAGCTCGTATTTGATTCTGATGTTGACTAGTCTCTGGATGTCCTAAAAGACACACATTGCGTCAGAAATGACTACAAGTTACAATCTCGAAGAAATAGATTTAAAACATGTTAGATTTTTATCATAGGAAGAAAAAAAGCACTGAATGTTTGTCACAAATGTAGCAAAATGTAATCAAAGCAGTATTTTGACTTCCATACAAAATACCAAATCACTATTACTGTACAAAATATGGTTCAACTATAATAATGGCCAATAATTTCATTTTAGTAACAGTAATATAGGTCAACAAAATTTTTAAAAAAATAATTTCAGAAATGATAAAAAAAGCAATTTTGCATGTTTGCTAAATGGTAGGAAAATTAAAGACTATTTATACATGGTTAGAGTCAAAGGCACTTTAATACTACCCAGATTTTGTTAAACATGAAAAAAATAGCACCAACTCGAGTACTGTAATTAAAGGAGATCCACAAGCATAAAAACATGAAATTTGAAAGTCTTACATAAATCAACAGTTACTAGGGCACATTAAATGGAAAAAAATGTGCAAAATATTATAAAATACAAAAATGTACTCTGAATTTATTCAAAAACTGGTATTTATTGCGTTAGTTGTATCTGATCAAATACCATTTTTATTTTTAGGTAAATTTGCACAACAAAAAAGATTACTCTGAACAGGTATTTTAGTAAAACCAAAAGGTTTGAGCACATAAGCTTTTGGTTCAATCCTTTACCAAATGATCCAAAAATCTTGAAAAAAATATTTCCAGTCCATTCATTTGTAAAAATCTTGCTGGAGTCTCTTTCATAAAATGATACAGTATAGTAATACAGTGATAGTCATATTTTACTTTGTGACAATATGATGTACTGTACAAAGTACATGGATTATAATATATTTTAATTCTGTTTTATCAATTGAAAATTTTTGTCATCATGTTGAGGTGTGTAGCTTTAAATGTAATCAGTACAGTGAGTGAAGTGTATGAAATATTGTTTCAATTCAAAATTCCTTCTTGTTTTCTTTTTTCTTGCCCTTTTGTAGGTAACAGGTCTTCAAAGTATAAGTGTAAAAAAAAAATTTAGAAAATCAGACAAGTTGGCAGGAAGTGTTACCTTGAAAGCCACAGCATCTTGTGAAGTAACAAAAGATGAGATAAGATTTTCAAGTTTAAAAGAAAAAGCTGGAGGCAAATGACCAGTTAGATAATAGAATATTTGATCAAAAGATATGTAATATATCTTGTTTTGATGCCACCATTAGAATATTAACAACATCTTTTGAATGGGATTGAATGAGATTTAAGCCTTTAAAATGACTTCTAAAGTAGTAATTCAATTCAATTGATACACTTTATTTGATTCACCTAAGTGGGGTTTTATAGCTGTATTGCAGAAAAACAAGTTATGCAGAAAGTTTCCTTTTGTTCAGTCTCATTAAAGATTAAAGGTCGGCAGACCCTTTTATGGTCAATTTATTGGATAATTTGTATTTGGGTACTTTAATTATAATATTAGCCAATCTGTCATTTTTGCTACTGGCTATTATAGGCTATCTGTTACATTGAATTGGTTAATTCGGCAGATTTGTTCGGTTATGCGGCTATTATACCTTGCGTTTCATCGGAACATTTTGCCTCTTTAATCTTGTTAAAAAAGGCAAAGGGGGGATTATGTGACGGGTTTGTATAAACAGTTATTCGTATGTACTTAATACGGTAATATAGGACTTAATATTAAAATGTGGCATTAACGTTTTATAAACATACTTGATAAATTTCAACGATACTTGCAGATATTCGTAAACTGTTGTAATATTAAATTTGAAAACACTTATTCAATGCAGTGAATTACTGTATAAATTTTGGATTGGATTATTTGTGTTTGCGAATGATAGTAAAAAGAATCAATGTGAAGTTATTGTTGAGTTTTTAAACTGCTGATTTTATTGAAAAAAAAGTAAAGGAACGGAAGTTAAGTTTTGAAACAACAAGTTGGAGCTTAACTACAAGAACAGGTAAAAAATGATTTTGATAAAATGGCAAGCTTTATTTACAATGCAATTAAAACTAATTTAACTTATCATACTCTAAATAACTTAAATGGATATGTCCATCCTTCAATGTGGACAAAATCGTTCATAATTTTTAGAGAAAATTTAAAAATACATACTGACAAATATCGAAATAAGATTTTGACCAGACTGCACTGATATTTGTGCTGGAAAATCTTATACATTGGTGGCACAGGTATATTCAGTTGATGGTTATGATTATCTGTTTCTTTTAAAATATGTAACACACATTTTATTATATGAAAATGTCTCGTAAAATTTGATTTTTTTCAGTTTTTTAGTATATAATATGATAATGCTCGAGATTGGATTAATATCAGTATAATATATGAAATAACAGCTCATTTTAGGATATAATAATTATATACAAAATAAACTTTTATACTGACTAAATTGTCACCATTCAATAAAAATAAAGCTTTTATCTGGATTAAGGTAGATATTAGGATAATGTCAAAGTTTTTGCTGAGGCAATTAAAAAGAGAACAGGGATTTAAAAACAGATTATAATTTAGGATAAGCAGAAAATGAGAAATTAATTGATTGTTCGTGGTATAAAAAATTGTCAATAGTTTGATACCATGAGTATTACCGGTAAGTGTATTTTATAAGTTTCAGTTGTAATTATTTTAATCTGAGCAGTTTGTTTTAATGTGTAAGCTTTACTTTAATTTAAGACTTAAATGTTATTATATAAAAATTAATAGATTTAACATGAATTATTATGTAAATGGAAACTGGAAGTAATGGGGGCAGCCGGCTGGGGGCAGGGATGGAGGTTCTACCTTCACTTTAATACTTCAAACATTTATTTTTTCCAAACTGTAAAAGATGCAAAAGAAGAAATGATCTAAATTGCATGAATAAATGCATTCATATTTTTGATATTTGAAAACAGAAATTTTATTATGCTTGATCGTTAAGATGTTTGCTTCCAGAAGATAACAAAAAATCTACTGATAAACTAATGTTACAAAATTTTTGTTCAAAATTTTTCCTGCCACTGTTGTAACATTATATTTGTTACTACTTAAGGATGGTTTACTGATGATTTTATATCTTTCTTTCTTGAATTAAGAGACCAGCAATAATGGATTTACACATTAAAACTAACTAGATCAGTATTTACAGTTTACTTATTTATTTTTTTTATATAACTTACGATCAGGTCAGTCATGTTGCTTTAATAT